GATATTGTAAGAATATCACGGAGGTCCACTGAAGTTTGAAGCAGTTTGTACTAGCCATTTTACCCCTGAGAAAGACTTTTAAAAACAATTTATTTTTTAGTTGTAATTGGACACAATACCTTTATTTATTTACTTTTATGTGGTGCTGAGGATGCAACCCAGGGCCTTGCACATTCTAGGAGAGCGCTCTAGGGCTGAGCCACAACCCCAGCCCCAGAAATACTTTTTTTTTTTTTTTTTTTTAAGCACGCACCAGAAAACATGATTGGGCTGCAATGTGTGAAACCTTTTTTGGTAATTTCTAAGGAGACATATTGATAATGAAAACTTTCAAATGCCTTTTAGAAAAGAAAATTCCAGGACTGGGGACATAGCTCAGTTGATAGAGTGCTTGCTTTGCATGCACAAGGCCCTGGGTTCAATCCCCAGCACCAAAAAAAAAAAAAAAAAGAGAATTCCTAATAAAATTGAAAACATAATATGGACAGTTTTAAGTTTTGAGGAAAAATGGCTGTCAAACACAGAATTTCAGCCGGCTTATCAAACAGGGTTTGCAGGACCTTGAATGAAGATTTTGAAACTGTAGACAGCAGGATGTGAATGCTGTTATACACACACACACACACACACACAAAAAAAAAAAAAAAAATTGAGGTTATACTGTACCTTTTCAGTATCCAGTTTCTGAGATGACTCTCTTCTGAGGGGGTTACTGTAGGACCTGATTTTAGTTGTTTAGTGGTCATTTGAAGATATATATGATTTAATTTTCTGCTTTTATGTTGAAATAACCCACTCTTGCTGTGTTGGGTTATCCAGGAAAATTTTGTTTTTTAAAATTCGTATGTTCCAGTATTTGGGGTAAATAAGAGTATTGGGAATGGAAACCTTTTAGACAATTATAAGATGTTAAAAACTTTAATGACCCCCCCCCCCCTTTTGGTGGTGATTGGTATCTAACCCAGGGAGGGCTTTCCACATGCTAAGCATGAGTTACATTCCCTGCCTGTTTTATAAGTATTATGCTAACATTTCTATAAAGCATTCATTTAAAAATACTTAGAGGATGGGGGTGTAGCTCAATGGTAGAACACTGCATGGGGGTGAGGTAGTGAGGTGAAAACAGTGTGGTTTGTTTTTTTTTTTTGGATGGTTTACTAAAGGGGAATATATAGATTGACTTTTATTAATGATGCCCTTTGATTTAAAGTTATTGGAGAGAAATGAAATGTAATAGAATGCTCCTGCAAATAATGTATCTGTAACATTTTTCAAGTTCAGATTATTCAAGATTAAAAGTGGCCTCTTTTTAAGGTTTAAGTGATAAATGAGGTTAAACCACTGACTACACTTGAAAACAAACCCATGGTAGGTTTCCAAACACAGTGAATAGATCTTGTTGCTTTAAGCAGATCTCATAGCATTGGAAATTTCTCTGTTCATCTTCTCTGGTAAGTTCCAAATGTGTCTGTCTGTCTGTCTGTCTCTCTCTCTCTCTCTTTTTCCCTTTAATTTGGAAATATAATTTGAGATTTTAGAATTTCACTCTTTACCAATTTACTATGAAGTGCAAATTTTGGAGCGTTTGAATGTTATCTCTAAAATAGTTGGGCTTATTATTAGACTTTTGTGAACATCTAAAGTTTCAATTTTTCTTTCTTTCTTTCTTTTTTTTTTTTTTTGGTGCTGAGGTCACACACAAGACCTCAGGGGTACTAGACAAGGGCTGTACCACTGAGCTACACCTCAGCCCAAAGGTATTTTGTCTAATGTAGTGAGAGGCTTAACTTGTATGCCATTTGATGCATTTATGAATATAGGCAGTAATTGTTACCAGTGATATACATTTTTTAAATTTGGTAACTATTGTAATAATACAGAGGTGCCTGGTGTGGTGCATGTTTGTAATCTCAGTGACTTTAGAGGCTGAGACAGGAGGATCAAAGCCAGTATCAGCAACTTGGAGAGGTCCTAAACAACTTAGTGAAACCCTATCACAAAGTGAAAAGGGTTGGGGATATAGGTAGCTCTTTAAGTTCTTATCACTGTCAAGAAGCCTCCCTAGATGGGTATTGGGGAATACCCAAAACAAACCCCAGATACTTTTCTATGAGGCTTATGTGTGTTGTCATACTCTTCACAATAACCCTACAATGTAGGTATTACTTTTATTTTCAGGTGAAATAGCTGAGGCACAGAAAGTTAAGGAAACAGATGTGTATAATACACCCATTAAATGGCAAAACCTGGATTCAGAATGACTTTTTGACTCCTGTGCTCAAATTATCTCTGCTGGCAATTACATATTTTATATAGCTGTACATGAGTCATCAAATGTGGAGGATAAACTTATAGGTCACAAAGTATAAGTGAGCTTTTAGAAAGGTGATACAATTACAGTTTTTACTCTGTTCTGTTTTGTCCAGATCTGTTTCTTTTTGATCTGCCAGAGGCTTTTAGGGAGGCTTCTTGACAGTGATAAGTTACACTGTGTCAAGGATATATTGTTAACTATTTTAGTTTAGTTTTGTCTAGGTTATCCCCTTGCTAGAAATCAAGCCTCAGGGCCTTGTCCATAGTAGGCAGGTGCTCTACCATTGAGCTGTACTTCCAGCCCCTTGACTAACTTTTTAAAAGTTGATTTGATATATTTATTTATTCATTTATATATTTTTGTGGTGCTGGGATCAGACCCAGGGCCTCATGCCTACTAGGCAAGTTTTCTACCACTGAGCCACACTGTATCCTCCCCTAGGACACAACACCCTCACTTCATTTATCCATCCATCCATCCATCTATCTATCTATTTATTTTTATGTGGCACTGAGGATCAAACCCAGTGCCTTGGTCTAGGGGTTGTAGCCTAGTAGTAGAGTACTGGCTTAGTATGTTCGAGGCCCTGGGTTCKATCCTCAGCACCACATAAAAATAAAATAAATAAAATAAAAGTGTTGTGTCCAACTACAACTAAGAAATAAAATATTTAACAACAATATCAACAAAAACAAAAAGACAGTGCCTCACATGTGCTGGGCAAGCACTCTACCACTGAGCCACAAACCCAGCCCCCCCCTTAGTTTTTTATTTATTAGTTGTAGTTGGAAACAATACCTTTATTTCATTTATTTATTCTTATATGGTGCTGAGGATCGAACCCAGGGTCTCGCATGTGCGAGGTGAGCGCTCTACCTCTGAGCCACAACCCCAGCCCCTCTCTTAGCTTTTTAAAGTGGTATTTTATCTTTGGAAATCTGTGTAATCTAGGCTGACTTTTTTTTTTTTTTAATGTTTTTAAGAGTTTCAACTATTTCTTTAAGAATCTGACTTTAGTTTCTGAATGAGATGGGACTTCTACCTATGTTTACCAAATAAGACATTTATWTACAGATCAAAGTGTTACACAAACTTATGGAAAATACATATTGTAATTTAAGATACAGATGTAGTCACCATTGTGAATTTCAGATCCATTAAAGAAAGTTTTTTTTTAATTTTTTAGTTGTAGATGGACTCTATCATTTATTTGTTTATGAAATTTATTTTTTGTAGTTGTACATAATGCCTTGTTTATTTATTTATTTATGGTATTGAGGATTGAACACAGTGCCTCACACATGTGAAGCAAGTACTCTACCATTGAATTACAACCCTGGCCCCAAGAAAGTTTTGATCTACGTTGTTATATAGCTCTAAGATGCTATTAAGATACAGTGTTTTGGTAGAGCAATTGCCTACCATTTGCAAGGCCCTGGGTTGAATCTCCAGCATAGGTTGGGGGCTGGTGTGTGGTGTCTTATATTTTATTGGTTTTTATTGTGCAGCCATTAATGGTGATGCAACTGAATGCTAGTGAAGAAATGTTCTTTAGTATGTTTACTTGCAGAGGACTATTAGTTGTTGTTCTTAGTCTTCTCTTAGATTTTTTTTTTTTGTACTGGGGATTGAACGCAGGGGCACTCAACCACTGAGCCACATACGCAGCAGCCCTATTTTGTATTTTTTATTTAGAGACAGGGTTGCACTGAGTTGCTTAGTGCCTCGCTTTTGCTAAGGCTGGCTTTGAACTCTCAATCCTCCTGTCTCAGTCATTGATATTACAGGCTTGCATCACCACACCCAGCTTCTTTAGGGTTTTAATGACAGTAATTGATCAATGAGGCCAAGCATGGTGACAAACACCCGTAATCGCAGAGACTTGGAATGCTACGGCAGGAGGATCACAAATTTGAGGTCAGCTTCAGCAATTTAGTAAGATTCTAAGCAACTTAGAGAGACCCTCTGTAAATAAAACATAAAAGTACTGAGGTTGTACCCAGATTAAATCCCTCCCCCCMAAAAAACAAGTAAAAGTTGCCCAAGAAATTTTTAGAATTCATATAAGTGATCATAATGTTAAATAGCAACAAGCAAGTTAATGTTTTATTTGTAGAATTCCTTCTTGTTTGTCTTTTTTTATTTTTAAGTGCTGGCAGTCAAACCCAGCCTTGTGCAAGCTAGGCACGTGTTCTAATACTGAGCTATACCTCCTGTCCCCTTTTTGTGTTTCATATGATTCTAGGATATGACCTTCAGATTTTTCTTAGTTGAAACATTAAATGAAGAGGTTCATACTTTTAAGATACATAGGTCACAGAAGCCGATTAGTACATTGTGTGGTTCTTTGGAATAGAATTGGCATTCTAAAGCAGGGATGCCAGAGATGACATATGGGCGAGTGTTTTAATCATTTCCTGTGTCTCTTTTCCTCACTTGGAAGAAATGCCACAAGCTATGAAAATCAGTGTTAGCTTGCTCGGGATGCTGAAACTTAGGCAAAATCATTTCTGTTTCCAATTCCATAGTATGATAGGTGGCAAGGATTGGAACCAATAAAATACCAGTTTCAAAATGCTGATGATAAATCGGTATGATTATTAATATATGCAAAATGGTAATATTATTGGATAATATATTCAAGAGGACCAAAGATCAACATAGGGAAGGTTCCCTGAGTGAAGAGGTGTTCGCTTTGGCAGCACATACACTAAAATTGGAATGATACAGAGAAGGTTAGCATGGCCCTGCTCAAGGGTGATGCACAAATTTGTGAAGCGTTCCATTAAAAAACAAAAACTAGAGTGAATGGTATATAGTTAAAAGTTGAAAACTTGAACATGTGGGACATATCAAGGAATAACACCACAGAGACATAAGTTTTTTTTTTTTTTTTTGTGGGATGGTTGTATTGGGGTTGTGAAGAACTGTGATTGTAGGCTTCTGGTGTACTTAGGCGTGAGAGGCCAATAAGAAGCATATTTGTACAAATATACTGTTGATTAATATCTCAGGGCTGTTCTAGTATAGTCAAAAATATAGAAAAACAGAAGTCCCTATTGTATTTTTTCATGTACAGTTCTCATTAGAATACTCTGCAGAGGGATTCTTTTATCACATTTTCTTAGGTCTTAATGATATGTTATATAGTGAACATGAAAATATTTGACTTAAAAATATAAAAAACATGTAATTAGCCATTGTGATTATGCTGCTTTATAGCTATCCGAGATACATTCCCAAGTGATTTCTTCTGGGTTTGCAAAAAAATTTTTGTATTTTTAATTTTTGTCTGAGACCGAGTTTTGCTAAGTGGCCTAGGCTAGTCTTGTGATCTTCCTGCCTAAGCCTCCTGAGTTGCTGGGATTACAGGTCTATACCACCATGCCCATCATGAAAAAAATTATTATTTTTGGTGCCAGGAATTTACTCCAGGGCCTTGAGTTTGCTWAGCACATGCTCTATCATCGAGTTATACTCCCAGTCTCATGATAAAATTCTTTTTTTTTTTTAACCATACGATTTATTTTTATTWTTTTTAGTCATACATGACAGCAGAATGTATTTTGACATATCATACATACATGGAATCATAATGTCTATTCTATTCTGCTGCCCTTCCTATCCCCCCTACTGATAAAATTCTTTTAGGAGCTAAAAGGTATAGCTCATGATAAGAGTACTTGCCCAGCATGTGTAAGGCCCTGGGTTTGATCCCCAGCAATGCAAAGAAAGGGAAAAAAAAGTTTTCTGAAAGGAAGTAGCAGAAATTCATGAGATTTTGAATTATGGATCTGAAATCCATGTAGAGGTTTTGTCTTTGTTCTTATGATTTAGTCAGTTTCTAATATTTTATTAATGAAAATGGGTTCCAGCTTGAGGTATATATATCTCCAGGTATTTTTTGTTTTGTTTTGTTTTAAATATTAGGAGTTGAACTCAGGAGCATCTAACTACTGAGTCACATCCCCAGACCTTTTTATTTTTTATTTTGAGACCGGGTCTTAGTAAGTTGCTGAGGTTAGCTTTGAACTTTTGGTATACCTGTCTCAGCTTCTTGGGCCACTTTGATTACAGACATGCATCAATCCAGTTCTTGAATTCTATTAAGTTCCTCCTTTGAAACAGCCTGGTACTTTTGCTTGTATGTCTGGCATTAATCCTTTTTTTTTTCTTTTCTTTTCATTTCTTTCTTTCTTTCTTTTTTTCTTTTTTTTTTTTTTTTTTGTGGTGCTAGGGATTGAACCCAGGGCTTTGCATTTGAGGCAGTGAGGCAAGCACTCACCAACTGAGCCCTATCCCCACCCCGGCATTAATCCTTTTCATATTAGCATTGCCATTTAGAATTAGTGAAAGCAGATTCATGATAATTACCAAAAGAATTACAAATGACCACCACAAATACTGAAAGAAGTCATTGATTTGATATTGCAGTGAATACCAGAAGATGTTGTAATGCTTTTCCATTTATAAAAAGTGAATTGTCAGGCTGGGCATGTGGCTCAAGCAGTAGCGTGCTCGCCCGGCATGCGGCCCGGGTTCGATCCTCAGCACCACATACAAACAAAGATGTTGTGTCCGCCGAAAACTAAAAATAAATAAATATTAAAATTTAAAAAAAAAGTGAATTGTCCATTTAACTGTGGAAGTCTAACCATATTTGTTTTAATGCATAGTGTTAGTACAGAAAGTTAAATATGCCCAAGTTCAAAAAAGGAATATACTGTATTGACCTGCTTATATTAAGTGATTTCTTTGAATTTTAAACAAATGTTTAGTATTTTTTAAAAAAATATTTTTTAGTTGTTGATGGACCTTTATTTATTTGTATGTGGTGCTGAGAATTGAACCCAGTGCCTCACGCATGCTAGGCAAGCACACTACCACTGAGCCACAACCCCAGCCCAAATGTTTTTTTTTTTTTTGTATGTGTGTGTGTGTATTTATTTATTTATAGTTATACATGGACACAATATCTTTATTTTGTTTATTCATTTTTATGTGGCGCTGAGGATCGAACCCAGGGTCTCACATGTKCGAGGCAAGCAAGTGCTGTCTTTTACCTAATTTAGGAATGAATAGAAGAGAACAAATCTAAAGTTGTTCTCGAATTGTAGGTAGATTTGTAGCACACAGTGTTTGAGTAAATGTTATAGATAGTAAGGAATTAAAGTTGTTAGAGAGCAATACAGGAGATTCCTATTACTTTCCTTAATTATTCTTTTCTTATGACATCTCGAGGAAGGTAAATTCTGCAATGCATGTCACTAAAGCTACCAGAAAATATCTTTATAATATTATATTTGGTCTCATTTCATGAGGTTCCAATTATTAGTTGTCATTAGTTTGTCATTCTTTGGCAATTACATTGATTTCAAAGAGGAATTACAACTCATTTTAGTATTTTATAGAATTAAAATACAAAATGGCTCTACAGTTTAAAAGTTATAATAAGAAAAAGTGATCATGTCTTCTGACATTTTAATAATGATAGTAGGAAAAGTGAACACATCTTTTGGGTCATATAACATTATTTTTCCAGAGTTAATGAGGGAAGCAAAGCTTAATTTTTGTTTAATCATTTTGTAGACAGTGCTGATCAAAATTGAGAAATTAATTTGGTACTTTGTTTTGTTTTTTGTACTTGGGATTGAACTCAGGAGCAATTTACCACTGAGCTACATTTCTGGCCCTTTTTAATTTTTAATTTTGAGACAGGGTCTCACCAAGTTGCTTGGGACCTCACTAAGTTTCTGAGGCTGACTTCAAATTTGTGATGCTCCAGCCTCCTGGGTTGCTGGAATTATAGGTGTACACCATAGTGTCTGGCTACTCTACATCTTTACGAATTGTGTGTGTGTGTGTGTGTGTGTGTGTGTGTGTATGTGCTCACTCTAAGGATTAAACCCAGAGCTTCACACATTCTGACTAGACTATACCACTGAGACACACCCCTAACCCATTATACCAGGTCTTGACTATAGAAGAAATTAAAGAAGATGCTTGCAGATTTTTTGGCTGTGGTCCAATAATTTTATTTTAGTTATAAGTAAAATTATGAGGTATCTTAAAGGGCAAAAATGGTTGAAATATTAATTCGTTTAATATTGCTTTAGGGTATCACCTGTGGAAGAGATATTTACCTTGAGAATAATTTCTAGAATATAGGCCAATTTCTGAAAACTTGGTTAAATAAAAAATATTTGGGACTGGGGGCATAACTAAGAGGTAGAGTGCTTGACTCCATGTATAAGGCCCTGGGTTTAATTTCTAGAATTACCAGGAAAAGAAGAAAAAAGTGATTGTACTAAGAAGTGTGTGGATGTCTGTGGGGAGGAGTTATTTAAGAAGTGTCTCCCCACTTGCTCAAGGACTTCTAGATCAAGAGGTAAGAAAAGTAATGATGATGTTTAGTTTGTTATTCTTAAGATTGACATGATTAACAAATGAATTATACAGTTAGTAAATGCAAAACTCCTAAGGAAAGAATCTTTAAAGTGGGATGATTAGACATGCTTTTATGGAGAAGCTAGCATTTAAACTGGATCTTGAAGGATGGAATTGCATCTTTGCAAAGGAAAATAATGGGAGAACATTTATTTGGGCAGAAGAAAACAAGTAGGAGTTGAGGATATAGCTCAGTGGTATTTTACTTGTCTACTATGTGTAAGGCCCTGGGTTGGATCTCCAGAACTGGAAAAAAGGGAGAAGGGAGGACAAAGCAAAAGCTAGGGCTGCAAAGTAAGTTTTATTTTAGTACTTTAAGCAGGAATGCCCTAGTGATTTAAGATGTTTTTGTTAATGGATAGACATTAAAATTCCTGCTTTCTTATAACAAGATTAATTGATATTTAGTTTTGTTGGATATACTATATCCATACAGTTAAAGCTCTTGATAACCAGTCTCTATTCACCAAAGTTAATGTGAATGGAACCCCATGAATTGAGGATATATACAGAGAAGTGATAATAATAATGGACCATCTGATTTTAAGCTTGGTAGGTAACTTTGGGGTTGTGGGAGATGGTGGTAGTAATGGTGAGAAGGTGAAAAGTTGGTAGGATCAATATATTTTAGGTTGTTAGAGGGACTTGTTTGTGTGAGTATACCAGAGAAAATGAGCTGGGAAGATAGAAGTTGTTGGTGGTTGGATAGTACAATGTTGAAATTATTGTTTATGACCATGAAAGTGAATAACTAAGGTACAATGGAAGACAGGATGGTTGTAGGAAAGGAAGTTAAAGAACTGAGGCACCAGGACGTTATCAGATCATTTAACCTGGAGATGATAATGATAATATTGTATACTTGTATACTGTCATGGCTTAAGAAGTGCCTTTATTTCATTCTTTTCTGATTGTTCTAGTAATTTAGGGAATTAAATAAAATAGTATTTCCATTTTATGGATGAGAAAATTGAGGCCCAGGTATATAGTTTATCTGGTGCCAAGCTGAGTCTTATTTGTTTTGTTTCTTTTGTTTTGCAGTATTAGGTATTGAACCCAGGGACACTGAGCTACATCCTCAACCTTTGTTTGTTTTTTGTTCTGAGACAGGGTATTGCTAAGTTGCCTAGACTTTCCTCCAGCTTTGAACCTGTGATCCTCTTGCCTCAGCCTCTGGAGTAGCTGGGATTACTGCATCCAGTTTTTGTTTTTGTTTTTTTTCTCTTGTGGGTCTGGGGATCTGACCCAGGGCCTTGTGCATATCAGGCAGGCACTTTACTAGCAGAGCTACAATCCTGGCTCTAGAGCTGAGTTTTAAACTCCAATCTTCTGATTCCTATTGTAT